TCAACTCTTGTTCGTGATCTTTGGAGTGCATCGGCAGGTATTCCGCCGGTTCGCACAGATTCTGGACACCAATTATGACAAACAGTTAGCCAGACAATCAAATGAAATACAACAACAAATATGATTACCGGATATTTCTCGAAGAATGCTTTATAGCCGCCTTCAAGCAAATAGATCTCCGGGTGATGGAGTCGGGGATAGAAGTCTTTATTACGCGAGCGGTCGTTATTTCGCAAAAACCGAGAACTGAAACAATGGATACAATAGTTATGGTATTGAAAATAGGGTTCAATTCAATGGCAAGTCATACAGAGTGGGTCCGCGCTCTGACGAGAACTCGCAGTGAAATACAAGGATATGTCGTTTAGTGCGAGTTTCCTGTGATGTCAACGAATCTAATGGTCTGTTGATGAGAAACTCATGAAGGATGGCCTCCTGATTGTACAGATTTTTGGCCCCTTTTATATGTCCGCCGTTGTACTCATAGGGGTACCGACAGTCAACTACTGTACAATCGGCTACCACTTCACTGTAGAAACCCGACAACACTTGCGACAACACATCTACTGATATAGCCTTCAGGTCCTGATGTTTGCCTTGAATTAGAGGCAAAACATAGGATTTACTGAAGTCTCCGATGAGTGAGGGGTCGGCGCACGACATCTGAACGGCTTTCATAATCGTCGCCTCATTAGCGGAATGCCATCTCACGAATGGTGTCCTCTTATGACTCGAAGACACCAATGAATTGCTTTTACGTATCTTAAAGGCATTCGGTCTCTTAAGGGGAATGCCATTCAACTCATTAGTCGCGAACATCGGAGAGCAGACCGAAGTCATCGAAGTGTTGGCCACTAATGAGTCGTTCTCTGAGTTCTCGACCGAAGACTGAGTTTTAATTTTAGTGAAGAGTGGAGAGAAGAGCGAAGAGTTTTGCTCATCGATTGACATGTCTTTGGATTGCTGTCCAAACTGGAGATGCATTGGACTCGTGTTGGCCTTAAGAGTGAAACAGAGACCATATGTTAAGACAACTCGAAACACTCACACAGCATACCTCTGGAGATGAGAAGGAGGAGGAGTTGTCGAGCATTTCCGAGAGACATCTTCGAGGGTTTTTGCGCTTCCGCTCGTTCACTGAGTTTCTGGGCGTTTGGGATCCGATACTAAAGTCCAGTTTATTTCGACTCACTTTCAACGGATCCCTCAGAAGACTATTGAAACCAAAGGGCATCTCCTCATCAGTCGATTGGTCGCCAATACCTGTGTTTTCATTGTTTTGCTCCAAATCTAACATTTCAGACAAAAACACGTCTTCACTGTTGACCTCAAACTCTTCGGACATTTTGGCAGTGATTAAGGGTTTGAGAGATTGTCTGCAAATCAAATGAAGACTGTTTTGGGAGACAATCAGTGGTTAACTAAAAGGGGTTTTGTTTGAAACAAATCACACAATGAATGGGTTTTATCGTTGAAAACCAGTCAAACCAACCAACCGTTCAAACCATAAATGATTGCATTTATTGTCTGCACTTTGCTATACTTTCCACACTATAATAGCCTTCAATCACACGAAACACACTTTAAATCACTTTTAATTCATATATTAATCACTTTTGCACTCATTTTTCACATCACTTTCACTTTCATTCAATGAATCCATTCGTAAAACCAGTCAATGATTTGTTTGACAAAGTTTTGAACGCTGTTCACAAAAGTGTTCAAAAGTGGGTATAACTCGTGTGCACACAAGTTATTCACTGAATGCCACTGTTTTACAAAACAATTTCATTAAATGGTCTGAAAAAGTGAATTAAATCGCGTTTACGACGAGAACTGTGTTTCGAATCGTTATATTGAATGCAAAATGAGTTCAAATTTTATTACTTTTGTTGGCATTCGAGACAACACTCATTCCCTCCGACACTCAACCAATCGTTACGCGAGTATTGCTCTCACACTAGACATGAGCTCTACTCTCAACTCAATACTTCCTCTGCCAATACTTTTTGTTGCTGTAGTTTCTCGCATACTATCACTTCATTTGATCCACTTTTCACATTATTGTATTGCATTTGATATTCTAGTGAACCATTGCAAAT